CTGGCCTCTGATGCTCGGCCTTCACTTGCTGGCAAGTAAGGCACTTCGATACGAAAACAGCCACATCTCTTTTCATACCCCGCCACCAAAACTGGCGACCCATTTTGGAAAAGTAAGAGAGAGAAGAGAAAGTGAAAAAGTGATTTAAAGAGTCACAAATTCGGGACTTTAACCCAGGTCTCCGCTCGAGCGTAAAACACCCCGCTCGAGCGGCCACTCACAGACTTCCGCTCGAGCGGCCAACCTCCCGCTCGAGCGCAGAATGCACTCGCCCAGCACTTTTGCAGAACCAGGCCTCCGCTCGAGCTCCCAACCCTACGCTCGAGCGGCACTCAGACAACCCCGCTCGAGCGGCCAATACCACGCTCGAGCGTACAACGCTGCACAGGAAAATACTGAATGGGTGTAATCTACGCTCGAACGCCAACACCTCCGCTCGAGCGTACAGGCCAAAAATCTGGGCAACTAGTTTTGGTTTCTAAACTCAACCAACCTGTAACAAACCTGCCCAACACATCCTATAACTCAAATATGAAGTAAAAGGGATGTAAACAAGATAATAATCAACTACCAACCTCCACGGACACATGCTCGGGTCACTGTACAACAAGGGGAAATCCGGGATCGCTATAAATTATAGATTATATTGAATGGATTGGATGGGTTATTATAAATTACAGGTTGATTTTGTTGGATGTTGGCGACTAAATTTTGGTTTTGTTTTTTCTCTTTTGGCGACCAAGTGATTAGTTGGGAAACATCAATAAACAATTTGCCGACTAAATAAGGTAGTATCACCACTCACATTTGGTGACCAAAATGTTGGTAGGCGAGAGGGTACATTTGGCAACTAAATAGTTAGTCAGTAAAATTATTAATTTTGGCAACCAAAGAGTTTGGTCGCTAATAGGTCTATTGCCAACTAAAGTAATGGTTGTGCAAACATTACTTTTGGCGACTAACATGTTTGATCGTGGCATGTGACTTTTGGCGACTATTATGTTTCATTGTAGAATGTAACAATTGGCGACTAACATGTTTCGTTATGAAATGTGACAATTGGCGACTAACATATTTAGTTGGAAAAATATCACTTGTGATGACTAAACTGTTTTAGCTACGAAATGGTTTAGTCACGGTAAATATTTATTTAGCTACCAAAAATTTGGTCGGCAAATAGAAACTTTTTCCCGACTGAAATTTTTTTTTGTCACTACTTACTTTTCCCGACCCTCCATTGGTGCCAAAATGGTGACCAAAAAATTTAGTCGCAGAAAACTTTTGCCAACTAAAAATAGACTTTTGCCGACTAAATTTTTGATCGGCAAAAGTGCAATTTCCTATAGTGATGGTTCTGCTTAGATATAGAAATATTCAACTCAAATGGATGACTATATAACCATTTAATTTTGTCTACACTCTGTGGAAGGGGAAGTCCGATACCATCAAAACGTCATTTTTATTACATTTAGTTCAATAATCAGATTGATTATGTTGGGAAATCAATCTTCAAACCAGTCATGAGGGAATACTTTGCAGCAACAATGTGACAGGTAGAGCAACTTACATGCGCAAATCATATTTCCTATTTTCAGTATTTTTCTTTTTCGTGATCACATGCAATTCCCCTAATTGGTTTTCATCTGCCTTTTTTGAAATTGTTGAGTTCGTTCTTTTAGTCTTCAAATGACAACTTACTTTAAGGCTTGGCCTTTCTCTGAAAACTTACAAAAAGAAGAATATGAACCAGTCATCCTCATCTGCCAACAATTAGGGGAATTGCAGGTTCCAAATTGAGGTCTAAAACACAGCATAACATTAAGTGATGATTTCAAAAGACATCTAAAAATATTTTTTAAAAAAATTAAAAGCGAGTTGTTTTTATGTTTTCATTAACATAAAAAATTCAAAAGCACCCATTACTTTCTTTTTTGTGTGCAAAATGTCTGTCCCTAAAAATTGAGTTGTTTTCAACAAAAATAAAAATCAAAAATAGTTTTTCCGAAAATGACTACACATACAAAAAAACGAAAATACAACCAAACATGCCCGTATGATTTAGAACTACCTTAGAATACTTGAACCAACTCAGTAAGACTAATTAGTATAAGAAACTGCAACAAAATAGAAAAATAGAAGCAGAAATAGCTGTCTTTGGTCCCAATTATTTTATTACTACATTCTTAAATCATAAAACACCTGTATAACACAATCTTCGTTTCACTTGACATGCATACAAGTAAGATTGTAAATCAAAGTGTAACGATCTCAGTGATTACATGCAAACTACATATGACTAATTAAAGTAGATGATGCAATCCACACAAGATTATCGGATGGGAAGAAATGGCAAACCGGGGAGGACCCTGGCTCAATTCCTAGTACTTGAAATGACACATGACCAAGGCTCCACTGAGAGGTATCCATATGACAAATAGCAACTGTAAGAACCCGGATATAAAAATTTAGTAAATAATTAAATAATAATAATATTACAATCCCAAATATTTTGATGGTAAATCCTAAAGTGCAAATTAAATATTTGGAAGGTCTTTTAATTAATTTTAAATCTAAAATAAATTTATGGTAGAAATCTCTAATTTAGAGGCAAAATTTGCTATTAAAATAAATAATAGTAATAATGTTAAATAATAATAATAATATAGTTATTAAGGGGTCATTTTGAAAATTTATTATAGGAGGATAAAACCCTAATGGTGAGATATCAATTCTTTTCTAAACAACACAACAACAGCCACTTTAGGTTCTTAGCAGCCGTGAGTCATTGAGGGAGAGAGAGAGGCGAAGAAGTTTGTGGCAAACAAGGAGAGAAAGGAATTTTGCGTAATCAATACTGTGTGGGTAAGTAAATTGTTTATTCTCACTTCTATTATTATTTTTGATCTTCCATAGTTGAGTTCGTGAAACGCATGGTTTAATCATTTAGGTATATATTAATTTATGGGCTGGTGTGATGGAAAGTCTAGTATATCAAACCTGGGTTTTGGGAAATAATGATGGAAGAACAGGTGTTGTGTGGTTGCATGAATCTCATTGTGGAAGAGATGTGGCTTTATCTTTGTGTGTTGTGTTGTCAGGGCACTGGTGCTCCTGTTTGGTATTGTTACTAAAGGTCTAGATATAATGTTTAAGGTTCAAACATTCATATATAAAGAATGGGTATTATTCAAGGAAAAAAAAATTCTGTGCAGAATCATAGATTTTAAAAATCAAGAAACCATTTTAAACGGATGAATTTTGAACTAAAATTTTTACAGTAGATCAATTACATATTGAATTGCATATCTGAATTTTTTCATAATTTTTGGAAGTCAAAATCCATATAATCTAATGCGTTCAAATCTGTCCAGAAAACTGGTTTTAAATAGTAAATTCGGGAGTGTTGTTCTCTTTGGGTATAAATCCAAGAATTATCAAATTAGTGTCATTAGAACCAGTTACGAGTCTAGTTTCGTACGTTTTTGGCTTTGCATTGATTGCTCATGTATGCTAAGAGAACCATTAATTTATTTAAAGTGCTGCAAAAAATAACCTATTTGGGCATAATTAATTATAAATAATTATTTTGATAAGCAAATCAAGTGAAACTATTTGGGTTTAAAACTTAGGATATATTAGTTGGTATCTGGAGGGTTTTGGAATTTTTCGAACAGTGTGGAGTGGGTTTTGTAATTTTCAAAGTTAGCGAATAGATTAGAAAAACTAGTTTAAAATTCTATTTTATCTTAAAGTTACTTTTAAATAAGTTTCGACCGGAACCCATGTCTTGGGTGATTTTAGACCTTGAAGAACATGAACTTAGGTAATATTTAAAAGTAACGGTGAGTTGGGTTGAGCCGTGTTAGTGCGCTTTAGTTTGGGGTTACTTAGTTCTTATTCTTTAGTATTTTTAAATTAGTAGTGACGTGTAGTTTTTATACTTGGTTCAGGGCACTAGTTGGACTTTTACACTCTATACGAGGATTATATTATTTCGTTTTCAGGTGAGTAGTTTCATGCTACGTATTTTTATAAATGTTCCCATACCTTGAACTGTTGGAAAATTAAATTGTTGTTTCAAGACTAAACTGTTTTGATAAATTATTATATTATCAATTGAATCAAATTATTTCTGAAACATGTGTGAACTTGGCATACTGTAAACTATTTGTTTTGGTCTCATGTTTATAATGAAGAACTACCATGTTTTGCGAAACTGATGTGTATTGATTATTGGGACCATGTGTGTATTTAGTCCAGGGAAATTATTCCACAGTGTGTGGTGACTCTGGCCACTAGAGAACAGCTCCGGGTTGGACCGTGATGACTCTAGTACTCAACGATTGTAAGGAAAAGACCTAGGTTAAGCTAGGTGACCTTCAATCGAATCGTCTTTGAGAAAAGGCCCAGGTTGCCACCCTGAGGATGACTCTTAGTTCGGTATTGGATCCAACGGGGCTTATAGCCTTGAGAACTGTGTGGCATATTATTTGTTTTCTTGGTCTAGGAAAGGGGTAAAGTTTGAGTGGAATGATTTATCATGTTCTTGCGAGACATGAGTATTTTAAGTGTTGAATTGTGGAACCTTCTTTTTGAAACAGATTGTATTTACCAAACTGTATGCCAATCTAGTTTCTGTGATATATATCTTATTTTGGAATTGAACCCTGTTTTCAAAACTGTATTTACTATCCATGTTGCTACTCACTGAGCTATCAGCTGACTTAGTTGTTTATCATTTCCAGGTGTTAGAAGGACTTAGAGTGGACTCATGGCGTAGCGGGAACTCAATTGCATGGACCTCTAGGGCATTTATTTAATTTTTTTTAGGTTGTTATGTCAGGTTTCGTGCATACATTGTGGTTGGATTTTATTTAGAATTATTTTATTTTGTGGGCTGTTTGTATCCCATTTAGTATATATATATTTTTAGGAAGTTGGTTATGGCTTGTTTTGCACTTGTGGCATGTCATTGGACTGAGTTTTGATTTATTTATTTCTGGGCTATCATCATATTTCTTCTTTATGGTTTTGGGTTCATATTTAGGCTTACGTATGCCTTGGGCTAAGTCCCTGTGGGCCACGGCCGGTCATACCCGGATTTGGGGTGTGACAGCAACCGCTTCAAGCTTGTCTCCATTTTCACCCCCCAAAAAGACCTTAAAGACTTTGCTTTCGCTCTCTTGGTAATGACAATAGAAAATCGCATATGGGTAAGGCATGGTATGACATGCCACCATCTTGGGACCAGAAATTTCTAGAGGATCTTCTAGGATGGTGTAATTTTGAAGAATGGTGGTTGATTCTGTGAAGTGGATAGTTGATACAACTTTGAATTCGCTCTCTAATCCAAGCATGGCACGTACGAAATCAAGCATGGATTCTAATGATGTGGCACATGTTTTTGACTCTCCTTTGATAGGTTTGACCTCGCATTGTCTAAGTGTGCTTTCCATGGCTTGGGCTTGTGGAGAGCCTTGAGGGAAGGAAAAGATTTGAAGAAGATTTGGAAGTTGTTCTAATGAGAAAGGAATGGAATCGGATTCCTCTTTGGGTAGGAAATGAGGAGAGGAAGAAGGGTCTCTCTTTGGGAAGTAAATGGGAATTCTTTTTCCTACCTTTAGGTCTTCCAAAAACAAGAACACAATTAGTGAAGGGTCTAAGTGATCCATGTGTGATGATGAATGATCATGAATATGATCTGTATGTATCTCGTTATGAGCATGAGCATGATTATCTTGGTTCTCAATCATTGGATATTTTAAAGCATTCATCACATTGTGATGAAGATCATCGACCAAATCATCTTTGGGAATAATCTTCATGGCTCCAATTCCATGAGAACTCTGCAAAAATAAGAACTAGCAATTTGTTAAAGTTCTGCGTAAGCATGGTATTGAAAAATAGGTAAAGAAAACATCCAATACTAGAATGTTTCTTCAAACTTTGATAATAAACTGAAAATAAGCAGTGTAAATTCTAAATGTAATGAAATAATTTAAACTTCCATGTGTTCTGAAATCCCTCTAACAACAGAAATAGCAACTACTAAACCAAATCATACATGCATCTTCATATCAAGATTACATTCATAAAATATTTGACTGGAATTTTACTTCTTGTCCTACTACGAAACACACGACCCTCCTTATCCAGGCTTGGTATAAAAGATAAAATACTATGGATTGAACAGCAACAACAACTACCACTACTATTATCATTTCCTTTTATGAAGACAAAAGGAATCCCAACTTTCACATGAAAATTTCGACCAAAATACCAAGAAGAGCAAGAACAAGAACACAAATAATGACGACGACGACAACAACAACAATAATTACCTCATCAAACCGTACTCACATATTTTTATTAGGATTTATGTTCACAAGGGTTTTATGAGAATTTTTATGTACTATCAGGCTCCTTAACACATAACCTTCTTCCTTATCCTTTGGAACTGACAGTGTAAAAGATTAAATAAAAAAAAAAAGAGTTAACAACAACTACTACATGATACTACTACTGCACAAGAAGTAGACATGTATAGCTTAGATATTACCATCACAAGAAGTAGATAAAGCAAGACGCTCCAAGACGTGTATCCAATGGCCATCTTTTCTTCTTTCCCTTAAGCTCCTCAGTTTCTTCTTCTACAAACAGAGTATTAGGAAGTCAACTAATTCAATATGGATAAAGCATGCAGATCCAATTTGCAAAAGGACGTCTCCATCGAGGAGATTTTTTTATTATAAAATCCAAGGAGATCTTTTTGATTATTGAAGAAAAAATTTAAAAATTTAAAAATTAGAAAATACTTTTATAAATCCACTATCCTGATTTCTTTATCCTTTCATTTTCTTACTACATTTGAGAACATGTTATCTGAGAATTATTATATATATAATGCATTTTTCCTTGTTCTGTCCTTTCTGTTTCTGTTTATGTCTCCCATTTTCAGTAGAAAAATGTTTTAAATATTTTTTGACATTCAGTAAAACAAAAAAAAGTTAAAGTAAACAAAAAATATTTTCTGTGGTAATGAAAAAACAAGTTTTTTTCTAAGGTAGAATAAAGATTGTTTTTTCTAAATGTGAAAAATATTTTCTAAACAAAAGTCTTAACACCACCACCCTACAGCCCCCACTACCACCAGCTCATAAGTTTCAAGGCTGCAACTAATCACAAAAATCATTTTATGTGCATGACGTTTTTTGAAAAATATTTCACATAGAAAGTGTTTTCTGCTAAAACAAACAGTGTAAAAGTTCGAAACATCTAAAAAATAGTTAGGATAAATTTTGCGGGGATATATTTTCTGAGTACCAACACGTGGCCAAGGTGATGCCGACGTGTCAGCCGAGGTGCCACGTGTCCTGGTTGTGATGCCGAGGTGATCTCCTCTAAGCTGAGGTTATCTCTGAAGATATCAAAATTCGGGATAAGCGGATAAGGGACAAGAGTCCTAGAATGGGAGAGGATTTCAGTTTGGGTAAAGATAAGACTCTTAGAAAGTTTATCCTAATCCTACTGGGAGTCCAAGATTGGCAGTAATCCTAAGTCCATTGAAGCTAGGCTTCTAATGGGATTAGGTAAGTATTGGCTATAAAAGAGAGGCACCCCCATGGTTCTAAGGTACGCAATTCATATTCTGAACTGTGAGTTAAGCACTTGATTTATCTTTGAGAGATAATTGACTTGATCGTCAGAGTGCCCCCAGGTGGACGAATCACCGCCGGAATCTCTTCTTTCTGTTGCAGGTCAATCAGGTGCCATCTATTCTGCTAGTGCTCTTCAGCTGAATATTGAGTTTAGCAGTGTGGTCGGAAATTCACTCACACAATTTGGCGCCGTCTGTGGGAAAGAAAGGAGAATAGATGGCCAACGACGGACAGAAGGATAAGGTTGGGGATGAAACCCCTATTGGGAACGGTAAACATGTTGATCCTAATATGGAGGAAGATGGTTGCAACGAGGAGACTCAAAACCAGAATCACGGAAAGAAAGACGTCGGCCAGGATAGCGACGTGCCAAAGAAACCATATCAAAGTGGGTGCTACAACGAGGACGACCTCCAGGTATGGAAGGATAGATGCCTGCGGAGGGACGTAGAGGTGAAAGAGATGGCGAATAAATTGGCAGACCTACAATCGGTCGTCAATTTTATGATGCAAAACAACGTCATGCAGCCACCATTCCTGTTACAAGAACACACCGATTCCAGCGGCCAATGCCCAGAAGGGAGGGTAGAAAATGCTCCCGATAGCCCCCCAGCACACCAGGAGTGGAAGACACTCTCACCGGCCTTCAAGGGAGGTCGGGTGAGGAGAGTCGAGGAGGGAAGAATCTCGAAGGACACATCGCACCAAGGAGGCAGACCCCAAAGAAAATCGGTATGTTCAAAGGCAGGCACTGTGCTTTGACACAACTCATGAAGAAAGGTCGAAAAGGGCTCACAACGAAGTTGAAAGTAGTGCGCCAAAAAGATTGAAATTAGGAGATAGCCATGCTCCTGGTGGACAAAGGAGAACTTAAGAGATTACCTGAAGAGGAAGCAACAAGATGCCAAGGTTCTCGGTAGAGTTGGAGTTCGAGCCTCTGAAGAGATTCCAAATGCCGAGGTTCCAGATATACGACGGAAAGTCGGACCCCAACTTTCATGTTGGGTTATACCTGAACTTGATGGCACTATACACTGGGAACGAGCCGTTGCTCTGCAAGGTGTTCCTTTCATCCTTCGGGGAGATTGCATCAGATTGGTTTCACAAATTGCCAAAGGGAAGTGTGAAGACCTGGGAAGGCCTGGCCGAGATATTCGTGGCCAGGTTCATGACAAACAAACTATAGCCATTAAGGGTAGATGCTTTGATGGCTCTGAGAATCAGCAAGGATGAAGGCCTTAGGGCCTACGCAAAAAGGTACTATGAGTTGTTCAACCGAATACCCGAGTGCAACCAAGAAATGGCGGTCGTATCTTTCAAGAACGACCTAAAAGATGACTGTCCGCTACGAAAATCTTTGGCAAAGACATTGCCAAAAAGCATGGAAGAGCTCACGGCCAGAATTGAGAAGTATGCCAGAGCCAAGGAAGACACGTCAGGAGCCAATGAGACAAAGCAAGAGAAATGAAATGGCTCGTCGAAGCGAGGCCAAGGTAACAACGGATCCAGTAAGCAAGAGATAGGACTGAGGGCTACACATGCAGTAACAACTGTGTTTAGAATCCCAATTCACAAAGCCCTGGATAAAATTCGAACTCAGCCCTACTTCAGAGCAACAGCAAGGGTACCCAGAGAATTTATGGGAAGAAGCCTTGGTAAGCATTGTGCTTACCATAACGAAGATGGGCATATGACTCAGGGTTGCAGAGCCTTGAAGGCACACCTGGAAGACCTGGTAAGGCAAGGCCATTTGAGGGACCTTGTAGATGAGGCCAGGACAAGAGACGAACAAGCAAGACTGCCTCAGGCACCAGCAGCTCCGCCTCCCCCAGCACAGCAACCGCAGGCAGGAGGACCTCGGGTAATTAATGTAATTCACTTGAAGGTCAACGAAAAAAAAATAAGGGGGGAGACCCAGAAGGTAAAACACTTGCAGCACGTGTACCAAGTCGGGGAAAAACGACATCGGGCTGAGGAGCACCAAGGACCAGTAGTGTCCTTTACTAAAGCTGACCTTGAGATGGTCCAACATCCCCACAACGATGCCTTGGTAGTGTCCCTCCAGGTTGGGGAGTGCCAAGTGAAGTGCATCCTAATCGACCAAGGCAGCTCTTGTGATATCATGTATGTCAGGTGTTACAAGGAGCTTGGCCTTCACCTAGACGATATGGAGCAATGCAATGGCCCAATGGTCGGGTTCAATGGAACGCCGACGTGGCCACTGGGAGCAACAAGCTTAGAGGTGTAGGCTGGCACCAGGAAGATAAAGACAGAGTTTACCATAATTGATACACCCTCTCCTTACAATGATATCCTGGAAAGGCCATGGTTGCATGCAATGAGGGTTGTTCCCTCAACATTGCATCAACTTTTGCGGTTCCCAACAGAGCATGAGATAGAGGAGGTCATCAGCTGCAGGCAAAGAACTGTTCCATGGCAGCAATGAAATCTACATGCAGCATACGAGAACCAGAGAGGGCGAAAATCGAAGACGAGGACATGGAGGTCCTAGAGGACATTGGCAAGGAGCCAGCCGAGAAGAGTGAAGAAGCACTGAAGAAAATCCTCGTCCAGGAGAGGGATGAAGAACGCTTCTTCCTTCTCAGCTTGAGCTTAGCCAAAGAAGAGGAAAAAGAGTTGGAGGCTTTCTTGAGAGCAAACATTGAGGTGTTTGCCTGGACGCCTTACGAAATGCCTGGCATTGACCCCGAGGTCACTTGCCATAAACTGAACGTCAACAGGACAGCCAAACCTGTAATCCAACGAGCAAGAAAGCCGACATTGATGCACATTGAGGCAGTGGAAGAGGTAGTAGACAGACTTCTGGAGGCCAGGGCCATTCGAGAGGTAGATTACCCGACATGGCTATCAAACACAGTGGTGGTAAAGAAAAAGAATGGTAAATGGAGGGTCTGCGTGGACTTCACCAGCCTAAACAAGGCCTGTCCCAAAGACAGTTTTCCTTTATCCAAGATTGACCAACTAGTAGATGCCAGTTCAGGGCATGGAAGAATGAGCTTCCCGGATGCTTATAGGGGGTACCATCAGATAGCCATGTACCCCCCAGATGAGGAGAAGACTGCGTTTATCACTCCAAAAAGGGTTATACTGCTACAGAGTGATGCCTTTTGGGTTAAAAAACACAGGAGCGACCTACCAAAGGTTGGTAACCAAGATGTTCAGACACCTGATTGGCCGAACAGTTAAAGTTTACATCGATAATATGGTTGTGAAGACCAAGGAACCTGCAAGTCATCTGGCCGACCTAAAAGCAGTTTTTGTTATCCTTAAAACATATCGGCTCCGACTCAATGCATCGAAATGTGCATTTGGAGTTGGATCTGGTAAGTTCTTGGGGTACCTGGTGACCAGAAGGGGCATTGAGGCCAGCCCAGATCAGATCAGGGCCATCCTAGAGTTGAAGAGTCCGACGTCGGCAAAATAGATGCAAATGCTGACTGGAAGGGCTGCAGCCCTGCATAGGTTCATAAACAGAAGCTCAGACAAGTGTAAACCTTTCTTCAACTTAGTGAAGAAAGCCACAGACTTCTTATGGACCGAGGAGTGCGAAGCCGCCTTGGCCGACTTGAAGAAGTATCTGACCACAGCTCCAGTTCTTTCAAATCCAGAACCTGGAGAGGAGATGTTTTGTACTTGGCCGTTTCAGAACATGCGGTAAGTGCAGTGGTAATCTGAGAAGAAAAAGGGGAGCAAAGGGCTGCTTACTATGTAAGCAAAACCCTAGCTGATGAAAAAACCAGGTATTTACCCCTGGAGAAGTTAGCGTTGGCTTTAGTAATGGCTTCAAAGAAGCTGAACCATTACTTTCAAGCCCACAAAATTGTGGTGCTAACTGAACACCCTTTGAGGTCCCTGTTGTAACAAGGGGATCTGACAGGCAGAATAGCCAAATAGACAGTGGCCTTGGGCCAATATGACCTGGAGTTCAGACCTAGAACAGTAATCAAAGGCCAAATTTTGGCCGACTTCGTGGCCGAGTTAACGCCAGAATCCATCGTACATCGGGCTCCGTTG